TAATAATAATAATAATAATAATAATTAATAATAATAATAATAATAATAATAATAATAATAATAAGCTTTATTGTCTAACAGGTAGTCCCATTTACAAGACAATGCAATTAACATATAATTAAAGTATCTATATAAATTATAAATAAAGTAAACAATGTTGTTTCAATACAATTAAAACAATGATTGAAAAAATGATTTATAAAACAATGAAATTGAAACAATGATTAAAACAATGATTGACGAGTACAATTAATGAATTTGGGTAAGGTCATACCAAATATATCAATATCATAATTGAAACTAGCAAGATTATTATATGTTTCACACATGTTGTAGATTGGTGATTTTAACATAAGATTGGTATTACTTTGGTTGAGATAAAATAATGTTCTTAATCTAGTGTTCTTGTTCGGAATACGCCAGCATATTTTATTTAATATTTCCGAGCAGTCAATTCTATTATTTAGCAACTTATACAAAAATATTAACATTAAATAAGATCTTCTCTCTAATAGCATTGGTAAATCAAATTTACTCAATAACTGCGAGTTATTGTATCCACGGGGAGGATAAAGCCCATCATTTTTTAACATAAGATATTTTGCAAATTTCCGTTGTATATTTTCGAGTTGCTGGATTTGAACTGCATAAAAAGGATTCCAAATTATCGAACAATATTCCAGTTTTGATCTAACATAGCTGTAATACAATAGTTTGATGGTATCAATATTTTTGAAATTTTTGCAAGAACGGTAAATAAGGCCTAACATTTTTGAAGCAGATTTTGTTTTATAAACTAATTCGATAAATCTAGCCTTTTTTTATATAAAGAGTGGGCCACTCAAAACAGTCATCCTATTTTTCGGCATTAATTAAATTAACACATTTTTCAATACAGACATCTGTCATGTGTCAGCCCCCTCTCTTCCACTTCTCCAACCCCTTAATTTTAAATAAGGAATGTACTATGTACGTCATAACATTGAAAAAGTAATTTTATGAGGAAGTCGGAAATATGACTCTTTATTGCGATACTTTTAATTTTAGCGCCTTTTATCGGGATAAAAAACGTATTATAAAGTGTGACACTCCATTTGAAAGCTAATTTAATTCCTAATTCAATTCACCACATAACATTAATATAAATATTCTCCATATTGCACTTGCAAGAGTTTAAAAATTAGTCATGTATTGTTTTAAATAATATTATGCTAACTTTATTTTACGACACCTTATTTGCTTCCAAATAAGGTGTCACATTTTATAATACGTACAGTTTTTTATCTCGATAGAGGGCGGTACAATTAAAAGTATCGCAATAAACAGTCATATTTCTAAATTCCCCATAAAATTACCTTTTTAATGATGTACTTACTACACATTGTAGTGTCACACTCTATAATATATAATAGTTTTTTTTATCCCGCTAGAGGGCAATACAATTTAAGTAACGCAATGTACAGAATTATTTTTGAATACCCCATTAAATTACCTATTTAAAATTAAGGTGTTGGAGAAATGCAAGGGAGGGGGTTGATACATGACAGATCTGTGTATTGTGAAATTGTTTTTAATTTGGAATAAAAATCATCCTCTTTTAGCATTTTTTTAAAATCCAATGATTAATGCTGATAAACAGGATGAAACTGTTTTGAGTGACCCACTCTGTATATCAGAAATGACTAGATATATCGAATTAGTTCATGGAACAAAATCTGCTTAAAAATACATTTTTTACAAGATGCGTTACACAAGAAAGATCCTCCCTACGAAAAAAAAAAATTGAGCGAAGCGCCATCTACATATTGACCTATTTAAAATCAATTTATATCTAAAACTGAAGCTCTCTTAGTGCTCTGTGAACTAGTTTTTTTGGTATCGAAAACCCTCAAAATACTCCGAGCATAACACTATTAATTTTCTTCTAGTCCTACAAGTGATAGAGAAATATTTCTTGTATGTCTATCAGTTGGGAATCTAAAAAGCAAGCATAAGCATATTTATTTTACTACTATAGTTCAGACTAAAGTGTTTCCATTAATGACAATTTTTTACGAAATGAATAAGGTTGAAATATCAAAGGAAATAAATAACAGTTAAACAAAGGTAGATTTATGCTGCGTTTGAATATAATAATATCCATATCTGATGCATCTAAAGGCGTTTTCGAAAACTTACTCGGATCAGATAGATTATGGATCCCATCGTTCGTTTACCTATGGTTACTAGCCCTATCCGTATTCGGAAACTAGTAGATTATAGTGATCCAACTTTGTGATCGAGATATATATTTTGTATCCCACTCTACGAGTAGATTAGTAATAGATCCGCAAGCGCACCATAGGATTTTATAAAGGGATAACGCAATTTTTTGGTGTTTGGTGTCAGCCAGTAGTAGCTTTGAAGTTTTTTCTACATTTAATTAGTTATAACTTGTAAGATTTATGCCCCTATCGCGACTTTATTAGTTAGACCACAAATACATTTAATTAAAATGGTTCTTTAACAAATAATAGGGAAAAGTCAAAGATTGACAGACGTAGATAAACAGGAACAATAATCCAACTCGTTCGTAAACTGTCGGCACAAAGTTCAGTGATCCACGTGATCCATCGGGTAAACCCAGTAATCTTGATTTTTATCTGTAGTAGGTTTCCGAAAATGCCTTAAATTGTTGTAAATCTTTGATCACGTGATTCAATATACGTAAATGTAGTAGGACAGATGTGTCCGATGTGGATTAATAAACGCTTGGATGTGTATATTCAAACGCAGCAAATACATGTGATATTACTGCAAAATCTACACCACTGAACAATGCAATACATCACCTAACCTTACCTACTTATTACTTATGAAAAGACACTTCAGCACTCACATTATCCAGTTTTTGGCACAAAAGGCACTCGCTAACCATGTTGTTAGCTATACACTACAACTATAAGCCGAAATATTTCCAAAAAAGTATAAAAATCAACAAAAACACCCAATATGGAACAATTTACTATAAGGCAACGTCGCAAACTATCGATCCATAAAATAATACGTGACGTATAGTATGAATAAAACAAGGTTATTTTCAATTGCGGTGTCACGTTTAACGTTTATTTGTAGGCCATTAATGGTGTTTGACAAAGTTTAACTTAGTATTTGCAAAGTTGGTATTTAGCAGGCGTGTATCTATGTAAAAACGATAGGTACAAAAATGCCCTGCATAATATAAAAATGGGTGCAGCTAAAATATCAAGTCTGTTGAAAGCAGTTAAAATGGCTTAATGTACTTTGTTATAAGTCATTTTATTTACAGACTTACTATTAGAAATGTTTCGGAAAATTTTGCAACAACTCTGCTCACAAAGTGTCAGAGTGAGAAATACTGCACTAGATACGAAAATGAATTGGTGGGGACGCTTGATGTGTCACAATATCTCGAAACTATTCTAATTAATAAAATTTGTTGCTTTTAGTGAATTATAGGTAAAAACTATTTTTAAATATGAAAAATACACAGCCTGGCAACAGCGCATCAGGCAACGCATGTCGGTTCTTTCACGAAATCGCTACTCGATACGTTTCTTTGCAATGTATGACCGGATTTAAAGGTAAATATAAGAACTTTATTGACAATTTGAGTTATTGACAGGGTCTGCATTCTTTGAGCAGAGACAAGTGCTAACAACGTAGCCAACTTCAAAGTTAATTTTTGTAGCGATAGAGAATCTAAGGAAACATAGTAGAAAAATAATTCAGAACAACACTTGGGTCCCAAATTGTACTAGGTATATCTAGGAAACCTAGGTTTTATTTTAAAATATCTTTAAAAAAGCGAATAATAATATCTTCATCGTCAAACTTATTATAATATAATAGTTGCAATGCCAAACGATGCATATTGAATATTTGGACCAAAATGATTTTTCTTGTCTTCAGCCTATTGCTTATATTGGGTATATTGTTTTTTACACCTGTCTTTAGATTTTTGTGGTAGTAATATTAATGACGCTATGTTGGCTCGTTCCTTAATATTAGGTGGCGTAATTGAAAATTCAATTATGTTCAATAAACGTAACGCGACTTTGCACCCTAAAGTCCATCTCAGTGTTTACTGTCAGTGAGCCACAGCATACTATGATTTTCTTATTATTAACCCAAAAAACATAATATCTAAGAATTCTGAAGTTTAATTTTTATTTCTAACGTTAAAGTAACATTCATGTTTAATTTTACCAGAATACAGAATAAACAAGATGTTCTAGAAATTACGGAAATAATCTGAATATAATAGATTCACAAGTTTCATCATTTACAACATACTCAAACTGAGGGGGAGGAAAAGTACTTTCCATCGTACTTTTCCTCTCTAGGGTGGGAAGTATGAGTTTCCTCCCTGATGTGAGCGAGGAAACTGTGTACTTTCTATAGGAGTAGGGGGAAAAGCTATTTACTAAGCTAATAGTCAAATCACAGAGCCAATCTAAATCAGAGAATTAACTTTACGTCGGCTTCTTTCTCTGTAAGGTAACCATGTTGAATGAGGGCGAAATCAAGACTAGATTTAAAAATTATAAGTTTTAAGATCTGTACTTAAATAATTGGAACGGGATAAAATGATCATTATTGGCAAGTAGTTATTTTTATTTTTACCTTAATAGTATCTGTTAATATAGCACACAGTTGAATGTGATTGATTCTCATGTTCTAGATGTCCCTAAACTTTTAATTATTTACCTTCCTTGTTTTAGTTTTTTGAAAAAAGTTATTAGAAAAAGCTGTTTATTTTAGCGACTTCCATATACAGTTAAAAAATTATCGTGCATACTGTGTTGAAAACCGAGGATGTACAAACAAATAAATATTTTCATATGCAATACTGGGAAAACTCTCTTTGAAGAAAGAGCCCTATTGTCATATTTATTTCTGAAAATGTTAATACATTTCGCTACTGTTAAAGAAACTTAACTTTATTTTGAGTTAACATGATTAATTTAGCAAATTTTTAGCATCCAGAATGTGAATGTGGTCACCATACATGTGGACCAAACTGTGAAAAATGCTGTCCGATGTATAATCAACGTCAGTGGGGACCTGGATCAGCTCGAGACGGAAGGCAATGTTTACCATGTAATTGTCATGGACACGCTACTAGTTGCCACTACGATGAAGATGTCGACAGATCTGGACTTAGCATGGACATACACGGCAATTATCAAGGAGGAGGAGTTTGTGATAATTGTACGGTAAGGACATCATTATCAGTTTTCTATATATATTTTTAATTCACAACCAATTATCTTGAAACTCGTTCCACAACTACATGTCCATATCTCATTGATAAATAATTCATTCTAGTAGAAGCAGGTTATTAGGATCTAGTGTATTATCTACCCAGGACACTTTCTTATTAGATATTTAATTATTGATTGTGATACTACTTTAAAATTGTTTTTAAATATTATACAGAGTGAGTAAAAAATTATTGGAATATAGAGTAAGCGCATATTTGGAGCAAAATATGAAGGTTGGACCAAATATGCCTTAATTAAATGTTGCAATGGAAAAATATACAGGGTGTTATAGTTGCAATATTTTTCGTTTTTTTGGTGATAATTTTAGAACATATTTATAAATCCCGAGGGGAAACCACTAAGGTCAAACCGTACAAGTATTTTGGAAATCGTCTACAAATGGTTTTATGTAATTTCAGGTATTTCGCTGAAATTCCACCCTAATTTTATACGACTTTTTTTGCTATTCCCTTGTCTTTTGATCCACAAGTTGAAGAGTTCACCTTTTTAAGCGACCAGTTGATTTCGAAATGATTTCGATGATGGTTTCGATGATGATTTTGGGAAATTTCGAAATTTATAGTGATTTTGGTTATTTTAAGTGAAAACTTACCAATATATCAGGAGTGGTCCCCTCGATAAATCCTTATCAAAATTTATTTTACATTTTGTTGCAGACGCTTATGCGATTCCTGGTGATAAAATTGGGTCATACTTTTTTTTGAGGAAACTTTTTAGTAATTTTACGTAGAAAACATTATTTAAACATATTTTTTATGTTCAATTGTTATACCAGTTTAAATTTGATCATTTTGACCGTTTTCGAGAAAAACGCGATTTAATGTTTCAGAAATCATAATTGGGTTTCTAACTTTGGGGACCTAGTATTTGCCAATGAAATTCCTTTACTAAATGAACTTTGGAAAAAATAGAAAGTTTTTCATGAAAACAAATTGAAAAAGTCATAGAAGTAAGAGGATGCCACGTAGAACATTTACTTTCGAGTTTGTTATTTTTATTAGGTTATTTTTTGTTGATTATTCGAAGTTATAAGTTTGTCTACTGTTTTTCATTTGGAAGCACTTTCAGAGACATACGAAGTGTTCAATTGCATTTTTCTTGAAAGCATTTGAAATTATTAAGTTAAAACAATCAACAATTATACATAAAAATGATGTGTAATCAATCATATGTGCTAATTAAAATTACTAAAAAGTTTCTTCAAAAAAGGTATTACCCAATTTGATCATCATGTAGCTGTATCAAATTGTAAAATATTAAATTAAATAATATGCCTTTTCCAAAGTTATGCCTTCATGCCAATTTTGATATCGATTTATGAATATGTTGTGATATTGTACTAAAAAAAAACAAATATTTCAACTTTAGCACCCTATATCATTTTCCAAAGCAACATTTTATTAAGGCATGTTTGTTCAATCCTCATATTTTTATACAAACTATCTGCGCTTACTCTATGTCACAGTAGTTATGTACCATCCTGTATAAAGAAATGTTAAAATTGTTGTGGAATATTTATGGGGTCTACACAGGCCTTTAAAATAATTATAGTGTGACTAATATTAATAAAAAGTATCCATAAAAACTACTTCAACGTCTGTGTTTGTCTACCTATGTAGTACGCTTTTGGAAAAATTTGTTATTAGTTTTACGAAAAAAGTTATAGGACTTATAGGCAATAATAACGATTATGGGTAATTTATATTGAATAACCCTGTACCATATCATTTACAAAATATAATTAAAACACAGTAGACACATTAAAATTATATATTGTACGAGTATATGATAATTTAAATTTTTATATAAATTATGAGTCTCCCTACAACAATTGACAGCTATCCGCAAACTAGAACAAATTTAAAGAACAGCATGTCTCAACATAACAGGGGCCATGGAAACCACCCCAACCCGAGCCATAGAAGTCATTCTTTGTCTCGCTCCCCTTGATATTTACACCAAGTAGGTTACTCTGATGACAATGACACAACACCTAACAGTTGGAATAGAACCGGATGTAGGATCTGATGATGCAAGATAGGCGAGATGTCGCTTTTGGCGGGAGGCGCTCGATACAATTCCACTGCTCCTAGCGAACATGGATTTTCACTGATATATCTTCTTCCATAAGCCATATAAAAATATAACGGAACAAGTAGAAGATCCGAAAATGGCAGGTACAATAAAGTAATATCTACACCGATGGTTCTAAAACAAAACAAGGAGCAGGATGTGGCATATACTCGAGATCCTTAAACCTAAACCTAAAATGAGTTGTGAGCAATAGTGCCAGAGTGGTTCAAACCAAACTCATGGGATTTTCATAGCAGCAAAAGAAGTTATCAGAAACAATATCACTGGAAGGAATATGCTCATCTATTCAGGGACTACTCACCCTAAACAGACCACGAATTTACTAAGGGATCCAAGAATAACACGAAGTTTGGTTGATGGATCCATTAACAATGTGATTTCCTTTAGCTGGATCAAAGGTCACTTTACATCGAAAGGTAACTGTCTTGGCTGATTCACTAGCTAAGAAAGCAGCCAGCCAAATACTTTTTGGACCTGTCCCTCCATTAAACTCCCAACATCGGTAGTGACAAACCTAAATAAAGAACATGCCCTTGGGAAATTGAATGATATATTCGATGAAACAAGAAGCTATAGAGTTGCCAGAGAGCTTTTAAGTTATTCCGACAACACTGTAGCAAACAATTACTTTGACTGGTCATTGTCAAGTACGGAAGCATCTCGATAGCATGGGACTGTCAGAATCTGCACCCTGCAGAAGGTTCGAACAAGAAGATAAGATCGTCGAACATATCCTCTACGATTGTATGACGCTTTTATTTATTAGATTTATGTTTGGCGAGTATCGGCTAACACCGGCCGATATAAGAGAATCTTCTCTCGGCGACGTTGTCAACTACATCAAATCTGTAGGCTGGCTGACGAGGTAATAGCCCAAGAACCCACTGCAAATTTTTACCGTCATCTGATAACGAAATGAAATATACCCCAAAAGCATGAAAAAACATTGTACTTTACCAAATGGCACCTGTGCCAATCCCAATCCTGAGCAAAGTGGCTTGAAAAAAATATTTTATATTAAAAAAATCACATAAGGCATGACAGCGCTAATTTTGTTTGCCCTTAAAGTTTTCCAGAAAATAACATTCAAATATATCTTGATATGTATTGTTAAAGGGGAACATTTCCTTCCTCTTAACATCGCACAAAAACATCTATCCACGATTAGTAGGTAAAAATCATTAAAAATATGAATCAATGTTTGCTGATTTCAAAATTTATTTGTATGCCTATTGTTGTGATTCATTTTTACAGGTTGCCATAGAAACGACAAAAAACTACTATGATTATGGTTTAAAATAATTGTCTAACAAGAGTTTATAATTATTATTGACTGTCTCTGCAAATGGTTTATACAGTGCCATCCTTCTTTCTTTCATACATAAACATGGTTTAAAAGGTAGGTAAAAATAATAATAATAATATAGGTTTAAAAGCTAGGTTCACAATGAATTAGGATTGTAATTTTCAGGGAAAATACAATTATCGCTGTCATGTCTTATGTGATTTTTTGAATATAACATAATTTTTTTGAGCCACTTTGCTCAGGATAGGGACTGGCACTGGCACAGGTTCAATTTGGTAAAGTACAATGTTCTTACATGCCTTTGGAGCATATTTCATTTCGTTATCAGATGACGGTCGAAATTTGCAGAGGGCTCTCATACTATAAGATCAATTTAGGATAATGCACAATGAGACAACCCACCCTCCACACGTTACAGATAGTGAAATATTGTAAACGTTTATTTTGTACTAAAATCTACTATAGATTTCTGTCCAACTAGAATTTATTAAATCATGTGTAAAATCTACTAAAAACGTAGATTTATGTCACTGTTATTCTCTTTTTACTTTTATTATATATGTTGTTCTTGTAAAAAAAACGTTCTAATGTTTATTGTAGGCCTATACAACAGGAGTAAACTGTGAAAAATGTCTTCCTGGTTATTACCGTCCGTTGGGAGCACTTGCAGAATCAAAACAGCCATGCCAACAATGCGACTGCAGCCTCTCAGGCTCCGCAGGCACTTGTATACAGACAGGTGAAGACGCTGGAAAATGTCAATGTCGAGAAGGTTATATTGGAGAGAGGTGTGACTCTTGTGCAGTAGGTTATACAACTTTTCCTGATTGCCTTCCATGTCCTTGCGATTCTAAAGGGGTAAAGGGGTTGGAAAATTGTGCAGATGGATGTTTATGCAAGGTAATGATCTAAAAATAAGCATACATAATAACTCTATTTTATTAAATTTAATGTTAACATTTTACATTTACCATATACATAACGTTTCTTCTTACCAATTGAACATTCTCCAAAATTTATTATGTGCTCTCATTTATTATAGTTAATTATTACTTATTACGTTTTGTTAAATGTCTATGAAGATTATTCATATCTAATTTGTTTTTATTTTCTGTTTTTAATACATTTTCTATAAAACAGGATAATGTTGAAGGAATGTACTGCGACAGATGTAAACCAGGTTATTTTGGATTAAAGGATGATATAGAAAAAGGCTGTCTACCTTGTTACTGCTCTCAAGTTACTACCTTATGTGAATCAGCATTAATTAAAAATCAATCGGTAAGTACCTACTTAAATACAGAGTGTTATAGAAAAACATGTTGAAATTATTATTTAGACTCTCGTAGAATATACAAAAATAGCTTAAAGAGTAATTATTAAATTTGGAAGATTTATGTTAAATAAGGCTTACGTCACTGAAAGTTATAACCTACATTTATAACCTAAGGAGATCAACTGTGAATATCCTGCTTGCTAACTTTCCGATCTGACAGTAGTCGTACTCTCTGTCCGCATCTGTACAATAAAACTCTATAAATATGTGGTTAAGCGGTAAATATATCGTTACCTTGACATGAAAAACTTCTAACTCCACTTTTTACAGAAAATAATATTATTGTGCCATCTATTAATAAAATCCTAAATACGTAAGTTCTTAAAATTACAAACCTCTACTTTGTTGGCATGTCTGTTAAATTTTAAAATATGTGTTGAATCCTAATCATTTCAAATTTTTATTTGTCATTTCGAGGGGTAATTTATTAAACAACTTCATCAAGTCATGTGTAATTTGAATTGCCTATTAGTAGATTCAAATATATTTACGCGTATTTTGAGATCGAGTCACGATTGTAGATTCGTATCATGAAAAGACCTTTGAAAAGGTCAGTGCGAAATAAATCGTATCGACAACCGGTAAACTTAAAATTTTTTATGCAAAACGTTATCTGTAAAATTAGAATAAAAAACCTGTGTTAGGAAAAAAGCCTGGATTATCCCTTGGATACCGGAATTAAGGAGAGCTTTCACGTCACCCCTAGATGTAGTTTGGGTACGTGATTTGGTCTCAATCATTTTTTCTTAACCGTTTTATTTTTTTATTCATTTTTTTAACTATTACTTAATAGAACAATTTTGAAAGACATACAGTCTACTTTTCTCTGCCTACTGGTTAGGCTATCAACTGTTCCTACTTGCGGGAATGTACAATATCTAAAACTTGTAACTCCACAGAGGCCCCAAACAAACATAAAAACGTGTGTCTCCACAGTTTTCTTAAAAAAAATGAATTTCTTTTACAATAAATATACTTATAGACCGTCACATAGTGACCGATTTAGGTGCCCCATTTTCGCATACAAGCCTCGAAGAGGGTTGAAAAATACATCGATGTTGAATTGAATAAAAGAAAATTTACGAGTGACTCTTGGGGATAAAACATGGAAAATTCGATTTTCCTTATCAGAAAAATGTCACTATCTGACCGACTATTATGCAAAACAAAATCCTACTAATATACAGGGTGTTTTTTTAATATTGCGACAAAATTCAGAGGCGTGTCCCTTGGACGAAATGAAGCAAAAAAGTTCCTATGAACATATGTCCTACGCCTCTTAGATTTTGAACTACAGGGTGGTAAAGTTATAAGACAAAAACTTATTTTTTTCGATATATTTAATACCCCTGTAAATATTTTTCTGAAAATTGGTTCGCAGTTTATATGCATACAAAGCCATTTTCAGATACACAATTTAAACTTTTACATTCGAAAAAAATAAGTTTTTGTCTTATAACTTTACCACCCTGTAGTTCAAAATCTAAGAGGCGTAGGACATATGTTCATAGGAACTTTTTTGCTTCAATTTGTCCAAGGGACACGCCTCTGGATTTTTTCGCAATATTAAAAAATACCCAAATGCGAAAGTTTGGATGTATGGATGGATGGATGTTTGTTGCTCAATCATGCAAGAACGGCTGAACGGATCTTGATGAAATTTGACACAAAGATAGAATATAGTCTGTAATAGCACATACGCTACTTTTTATCCCGGAAAAATGTACGGTTCCCGTGGAATAGATTTGTTTTTGTTATCACAGGCATTATTTTTTCATAGTGGTAGTGAAACATGAAAATTTTAAATACAGCTACTGAGCATAAATAAATAATGGCGTGTTTCAGGGTTTTTGGATTTTCACATTTTAAGGGGGGAAAACGGGGGTTAAAAGTTGGTATGGAAGCATCGATTTTTTTAAAGGTAGGAACTTGAAAATTGGATTTATAGCTACTCATCACAAATAAATAATGGTGTGTTTTAGGGATTTTGGATTCTCATATTTTAAGGGGAAAAGGCGGAAAATTGAAAAGAGGAAAGAAAGGCGAGAATGGGGAGTGTAATGGGAAAAGGGGGGGAAATGGGGGAAAGGTTGTATTGCTTTTTTAATAGTAGGAAATTGAAAATTAGACAATTCCAGTTAGCTACACTTATCATAAATAAATAGACATTAAGGGGGGTAACGAAGGTGAAAGTTTGTACGAGATAAAAATTATGATGCTTCCATTGTTACGAATGTCAAAGTAATGTCTATCCAAATTTTTACATGAAATTTAGTGCAATAAATAAAAATGAAACAAATTTTTGCTGATGACATTATTGTTTTAATTTCACAGCTTCGACATGCGCCTGTTAAAAAATAACTTTTTTAGTTTACCATTGCAGATTTTTAAGCATTACATTAGCATAGAATCGTTCCGAAAAGCATGTCGGTTTCCTTGTCATATCTTTATTTTTTGTATTATCCAATAATTTTTCCTGGATTAATAGTTTCTCAGCGCTCAGATACATTTTTTAAACTTTTTAAGTTATGCTATGACGTATAGACTATTTTTACAAATAATTAACATGTGCATCTAGATCGAGCATTAAAACAGTATCTTTTATTTCATTTTTACCCTAATTAGCAAATCAAATATTTAAACACTTTTATATGCAAAGTGCCTACTCAAATTGAAACTACATCCCCACACAGTTACTCTATAAACGTAAAATGCACAAAAGAGTACGGGAAAATTGGGTACACCGACTGAAAGTTTAATTGGGATTTTCCACGGACAGAAGATCCGACTAACAAAGAGTGTCGCTGATGTATTTCTTTGTTGAAATAATGGGCTTAAATCAACTTGGAGATAAAAGAATTGTTCTTCTTTTTATCTCTAACAGTTACTTACATTCAGCAACATTAAATACATTTGCTAATTAAATTGCAAATGGGAATTTAACTTCTCTAATTTTAATAAACAGGAAGGTAGTTTTCGGATGGGTAGGAATAATTATTACATCCGTGATAATGTTATATATCAAAAAGAGGACAGGAAAATGTATATTTTTTTTTATTTTTATTATCTAAAAACGATGTCAACTGAGATTATAATATATGTACATTATTTACAGCATTAAGTGAAAATCTCGATGATCATCTATTGTTTTTATTTTTTGAAGCAGTATATAAATACCAATTTTCAGAATCGCAACTCATGGAAAAACGTGTTTCGTTATTTTAGAAAAGACATTTTAATTAAAAATTTTATAGTCTAACAATTTTGATTTTTAAACTCTATACAAGATGTTTCATCGGAAAATGGAAATAAGTTGAAGATAAATAGAGATCCATACATAGATACCATATTTAATAGGTCTTGCAGTTTTTATAACCGAATGATTCGGCACATTTGTTTCTAGGGTCATAAGTGACGAACCACCTTTAATAACTATTTTTAAAATATTACATATTTTTTCCATCCAAATAACGTATTAGCTACGCCGAGAATTTTTTCCGTGAATGGCCTTGAACATCACGAGCAGAATGCTGTCTCTACACTCACATTTTTCACAGTTATTTTCAAGAACTTTGTCAAGTAACAATTTTGTAGACCAGTAAGTTAGTTGAAGAAAAACAAAAACAGTAAACAAATTAATAAAAAGATAGAGGGAAAATAAAAGTTAATATTAAAAAAAACGACAAATAGGGTACACCGGGGCGGAATGGATGAGTCTCTAACGTATTTTTTTTTTTGAAGGATAAAGACGTGGTAAAAATTAAATTCAAAAAATATAGAACCATTTATTAAACTATTGTAAACACAATACAAACAAGAAATTAACATAAAAGTGTTCTTTACGCCATTCTACCCCGCCTACGGGGCTGGATGGGGTACTCCCGGTTACCGGGTGTACAGAGTCAGAGACAATCCAGCGAGACGTGTAACTCAATGTATTTTTTTTTGTTCGGTAAAAGTTATTTGGGCGATTGTAACCACAACCAGTCTATGATGGCGCCACTAGTAAATAGCGGGAAAATTAAAAATGCTTTAGGGCGGGAAATTCAAATATGGATTCAGAAATAAATAGTTTTTCTATACAAATTTACAGGAGAAACAAAAACTATTGTTTCACTGTATATTAAAAAAATATAAAAGCTTCCAATAACATCAAATTTTTTATCACATAAATAATCATTTTAATAAAGGAAGTTTTAATCAGTTTAATATAAACAGTAAACATAGTTTTTATTACTCTTGTAAATTTCGCTAAAAAAAAACTTGAAAATTCTATTGATTATTAAATATTTAAACTTGGAAAAATAATGCACCAAACTCTTTTTCTATAAATTATATTTTTGTAAGGTACAGAAAAACAAACTACAATTGCTTCGTTTAGAAAGTACCTCGTATCATTTTGTGACAAATTACAAAGTAACAGTTGTTATATATTCATAATATATTTAAAAACTAATGTAACAAATATTTTATAAAGTATAGTATCGATACCTTTTTGCCAGACTATCATAAGTGCCATTTGAACAAATGTCACTTATGTTAGTCTGGCAAAAAGGTATGGATATGTTATGACTGTTTATTTTAATAGAAACCATGGAAACGAAACACACATACACTCAACACAAATGTATAAGGCCCGAGTCAAGTAAGTTCCCATCCTGTAAACTGGATCAAAACCTGCTAGACCCCTGCTAACTCCTCTTATAGTAATCAAGATCAATAGATTTATATGCCATGCCTTCTAAAAGGGAATGAAGAATGACATACTATCATCATTTAAACAGGACGTTGCTGAAGGCTTACCCCTGTTATTTCGTTTGTTTGTGTATCTTGTGTGTGTGATTTCTGTTGTGTCCCCAGTCATGTAAAAGTTTTCCTAGTCTCCTAATTTGGTTACTAGGTGGACCTTCTCCAACTAGTAGTCTAATCTATTCAATCTGTTCAGAAGCAGGAGGTACTTTTCAAACATAGCAAATAATATCATTAATAATAAACACTATTTAAAGATAAATACATTTTTGTAATTGCCCCTTACCTTTCTCTTACACCACCAGGGTATACCTTTTTTCCATATTCCCTTAATTATAGATTATCTTACAATGTTCGAATGAATATACATGAAAAATCTAATTTCATATTTAACTCTTTTTCAATTTCATTTGAAACAATAATTGGTACCTATATTACAATTTATTATCAAAGAACATTTCTAATAAAGTTATAGCAAATCCTACTTAAACTACTGGTTGATCTGCAGTATAAATTAACTTTTCTTGAGATTGATCTCTCTATAAAATCCAAAACCGACCTGATGTCCCCAAATTTATTTTCCAATGCAGCCCAATTTAAAATTCTGCCCTTTTGTGATTCAATTTTTTTTCTTCCCTTAGAGTGGCTGTTAGAGGTAGATGTATGTAAGAAATAGCTAATCTCTAATCATTTCAAAAGTCCTTTGCCAATACTACATGTGCAGATTTTTTACTCAGCATACATTTTACTTTTCTAGTAGATAGGAACTTTGTGCTGCCATTAAAGCTGTCCAGACATTCATCTACCTACTTAATGAACACAAGTAGCTGTAACAATGGATCTCTGTTCCAATTCACCTAAAATAATTATAGTCATTGTGTAATATATTATTAAACACACACATTATACAGTGGTTTTCTTAATAAATTGGAAATTACTTACCTCTAGAAAGAAATGTGTACAAAAACGCGAGTTTGGTTCCAGAAATTGCTTCATACAAAAAATAATATGCAAAAATAAACATTCCCCACCAAAGAAAATTAAACAACAAAATCAGACTAAAAGAAATATACGGGGCCCAAATTAAATTAATTTTAATAAAATGCACATATTCATAACAACATTCATAACATTGTCAGTTGTCAGTTTTAATACTTTTAATCGATATTTCGACGTCAAAAAACCAGCAACACCAGCGCCCTCTGAAAATGGTGTTAGTTTTATTGGAGAGAGATAGACATATGTAAAGATCAATGTAAAAGAAAAAGAGGGTCATATATGTAATTTAAATGGACCACCGAACATATTTTCCTATTAACTTACACGTCTCTGTTGTCTCTGACAGAGTTCACATACCAGTACAGACTCGTCGTCGAAACTGTCTAGGTCCGCACAATAGTTGTGAGCCCACTTTTTGCACTGAAGGTCATATTTTTAGGATTGATATGATTCATTTTTACATATGGTAGGCGAAAAACACTTTATCCTACCAGGAATTTTAAAAAATGTTAGAATTAATGTTCAATTTTTCAATTTTGTATGTCTCTACTTACTGGCCTAAAATAATGAAATGAGGTTACGATTTTTGAATAAATAAATTGTTCTAAACTTGTATGAAAGCAGTTTACTGTTTGGCAATTATTTTAACTAATACTTAAAATAATAACATTAAAACACCAAGCTTAAAACATCTGTAAGCACAGAGGGCATTTAAACGGATCTGAAAATACAAACTGTAGTGGTTTGCAGGTCTAAAAATAGAACACAAAACTGTATGAATTTTTGTTAAGCTGGACCTAGATTTTTCTTGTTGGTATGTTATTTGTTTGAGCTATGGATAAAAAACAATATCAGAAAAATATACTGAGTAATTTATTAGTTATGGCCCTAGAAACAAATTATCTTTTCATCGTTAACTTATTTTAATTTCAAATAAATTATCCGAAAATGAAGAAACATGTATTTTTTTATTTTTAAAGGAGCCTTTAATTATCTTCGTTTTTGAAATATTGAAACATGTTTGACCCCTTAGTATTTTGAGTTAAAGCCATTAAAAACATTACCTCGCCTACTGTTATTTTAGGAAAATATTGGAACAAGTGTTTCTTTAGTTTGAAAGTTAGATATCATTGCTAAAAAAAATTAACCCACTTCACCACCTTAAGGACATAAGTTTAAAAACCATTTCTTAATGGGTAATTCTGTTATAAAGTTATTAATTCCCGAGAAATTGTTTGTCTCGTACAATCTGACTGCATCCCAACAATCAGTATCTGAATATTTATTTAAACTATTTATATTTAATAGTTAAGTGTTCGAAACGTTGCGTCGCGTCGTGCCGGTTATTTATTTCTACATTTCCTGATGTTTCCTTCTATTTTACGCTTCAATATGGCCTGCAGGCTAAAACACACAATTCTGTTCTAAATGCAAGATTGAATCCGCTCTTTTCACTCTTCGCGTTCACATCTGACAAAAGAAAACTTGGTCAGTCTTTCGATGATATCGAAGCGATATTGGTTCAATGAAGGGAGTGTTATTAAAAAGTTGCCTCTAACGAAAAAAAGTTTTTGATTTAAGTTGCACCATGAAGAAAAATCCAAAATAATATTCGAATAAGATTGGAATATTAAAGGATGCATTTGTAAATGTAAAAATAAAACACCCAATTCCTCTTACGAAATTAAATAATCCATCCCCACCATACCAATATGAAAACAAACCAAAGGAAAACTGAAAAAGCTGAAAAAAAAATTAAAATGTGCCCAAGCGTGGGATCGAACCTAGATATCTCAATTTACTTCTCAATATGTTTACCAATTAGGCCACCGACCGGTTGAATTCGCCACATCGATGCTGCATTGGTGGCTTCGGGAGAATTGAGAGAGCTGAGGGAGGGGAGAATGTGTTTACCGATTAGAGTTATAATCTATTCTTTACATATTTTTCAATTTGAACGTCGTAGCTTAATTAGTAAAGGTATCGAGGAATATACTCGGAGATCCAGGTTCAAAACCTGGCCTGATACATATTTCTTCTTTTATTTTCAGCTTTTTCAATTTTTATTTGGTGTTGTTTTCACCTTAAAGTTATATGGATTGTTTTCTTAATTTCGTAGGGAGAATTAAGATTTTCATTTACACATTTCCAGATGCTTTTTAAATCTCACAAAAATTATATCTATTTTCTTTTATAAAAGGTTTCCTTCATGCTATGATTTTTGTGAGATTTGAACTGTACAGTTCATCGATTCATTCCAAAACGCAACGTGAAGTGCTCGATCTGACTCACATCTGGCCTCTCCCCTTTTGTCAAATGTGAAGGTAAAGAGTAAAATTAGAGTTAAATAAATCTTGCCTTTAGATCAAAACTGTGCGTTTTGGCCTGCAGGCCATATCTTAGCACGAAGGGCCCCATTGAGTTGGTAAATGGTGAAATATTTTTTTAATCGATCTAGTATATTTCGAGTTTACCTGCTTTACCTACAACAATTTTTAACATTGTCATATTCTGTATTAAAAACTCATTTTAACATTTTCAGATACAATCGTTGAAGAATTGGCAATTAACTGACCTAAAGGTCACGAAAGTGGTCAAACCCAATTGGAACGGTCAAAGCATATTTTCATTCGGAAACTACGACTTTGCTGGCACAAAATCTATCTACTGGCTAGCACCTGAAGACTATTTGGGTAATAAACTCGAAGCCTACAACTCCAACTTTCTGTTCAAAGTTCAGTGGGTGGTGATGAGAGGCGACACCAGTGGCGAACCCACAAAAGGACCGAATATGGTCATTATGGGTTGGTATTATTAATATAATAGTAAATTGCATGTCTGGGTAGAAAGTGTTTCATTACTGTCATTTAAGAAATATAGGACGTTAAACAACTAAAATCGCTTCTTTGGATATTGGATTGGATACCGTTACATTTTTTTAGTCAAGTTCCTTTCAGATGGATGGGGTAGGTGTCCAAGAAAATTTTCCTTTCCTAATTTTTTCGACACTGTATCAAATGCTAAAATTTAAATATTGACTTTAAGCTATCACTATATAAAAAAATTGTATCAACATAAAAGGAGCTATGAAAACCTTACTAAGTAGAGTTATATGGAAGTGGTCTACTTGATATTTACATCAGGGAGGCTGCTGAGATGACAATTACACAAATCCGCAGGGTTGGAATAGAACCTGCAGGATCCGGTGATGCTAGTTACAAAAATGGACTTCATCTCACAGTGATATGTCTTTCATAAGCCCTACAAAGTTAGAATGAAAAATATATAACTGCCAGAAAAAATGGCAGATACGATTCTCCAGATCCTTAATCCTAAACATAAAAGGGCTGTGAGTAATAGTTGCAACTGAGCTCACGGGGATTCTCATAAACAAAAGGAATTACCAGAAACAATATCAGTGGAAGAAACATGCTCATCTATACAGATATCAAGCAATACTCACCCTTAGCAGACCAATAATTTACTCACGGTTTGTAGTATATCACCGAGCCTTGGTCGAAGTATCCTTTAATAAGGTGGTCACGTTAAGATTAATCAAAGGCCACACTTCATTGAAAGGTAACCGTCTTACCGATCCACTAGCCAAGAAGGCAACCAACCAAATATATTTTGAACCTGGCCCCTAATAACATCAGTGGTTATAAATCTAATTAAAGAACATTCCATTGTGAAAAATAAGGAAATGTGGGAAGAAACAAGAAGCTACAGAGTTGCTAGGGGACTCTTAAGCTGCCATGACAACACTACATAAACAAATACTTGATTAGACAGATTCTACGCCTGATCACAAGCACTCTGACTGGTCATTTTCAGGTACAGAAGCATCTACATAGCATGGGGCAGTAAAAGTCCCCATTCTGTAGGATGTGCCAACAAGAAAATTAGACTATGGAGCATATTTCCAAAACAAGAGAAGTATATCTCGGCGACTTGTCAACTACATTAAATCTGTAGGCAGGCTGACACTCTAAAAAATGCCCCATCGATTAGGGAGGATACATTTATTGGGATGTACAAGCAATAGCCATTTTGACAAATTAAATATTAAAATTCATCCATCTGGAGGGACTTCAAACAAGTCTTACCATCATGAATAAAAAATGATGCTAGTATACTTATTTGTAGAATTTGGAATAAGCCAGAATTGATCATAAACCATACTGGAAGATGGCGTTATTGCCAGCAAGAGCGGCTCCAGACCCGATGTTAAAATTCTTACTGGCCTTTTATTAAAATCGGCAATCCCCACCATCTCCCTCCCAAAAATTCGGCCTGGGGCCGCCCTTGATTGCCAGACTCATTTCATACCTAAACATTTTCATTGCTTTTTGTCACTAGATAAAATTTTCACTTTTAATATTTAAATAAATCCTATTTAATATTTTGATAAATCCATTTATGTTTTTTATAGGTAGCAACGGCTTAAAAATTGGGTACGGAGATGATACCTATACTTCTCCCAAAATGACGTTTCAACTAAAACTAAACGAAGATAACTGGTATCATATTGCAGAAGATATTACAGATATTTCCAAAGTCGAAAGCAGTATCTATCATGGAGAAAAAGTAACTAGGCATGAATTTTTAAGTATTCTTAGCAATATTTCTTCCATTTTGCTGAGATCAACATTCCACACTGACCAAATTGAAGCTTTGTTGGAAGAAGCTACATTGTATATAGGTGAAGGAGATGAAGACGGTTACACTAGCGTGGAAAGGTGTTCCTGTCCATCTGGTAAGCAATTTCCAACTACTAGGTATACTTAGAGGCAGTAGTCGTCAATTAAAATGCAATAATTCATTTTCAAAGACAGAATTAGATATCTGAAGTTAGAAAGTTATAACTAGAATTAAATAGTATATTGTGAAAAAAGGTTGAAATGAAAATTCGATTGGATTGGAAGATTCTGAACGCGAGCTTAAGCGAGAGCGAAGAACCACGAGTATCGGATATGCATTCCAACAGAGTAACATAATATACTTTCTCCACGGCCACAGATGCAGTAAAAGTTGAATATAGTAAAATGAAACTTTGAACAAAATGAAATATTTAATCTTATTCTAGTTAGGCAAGTTTTTATTTAAATCATTTGCATAATTTGTCAATTTGGAAGTAATATTATCACCAATTTTTGAATTTAAGTTACTTAACAAACGCCGCTTATCTTCATTCAGGCAAATTCAAAGTAAATACTAATATGTCGCGTAGAACTGTCAGTCATGAAATTCATGACTATCTACGATGCAGGCGTGATATTAACAGCCGTTGGCCAGTAGCTATTACATAAATATTCTGTATCTAGAGTTAGAATGAAATACGTGTAAAATAACTAAGAGGCAAGTGTTACAGAATGTTCTTTCAATCTCAAGATCGAGAATGTTTTCTTGCTGTTTGGAAGAACTACATTCAGTTGTGGTTGTGGAGAAAATAATTTAAACTGTTTGCTAATTGGTCAAGTAATCGTCAATCTTCATTGTTTTGTATAATAATGTCAATGAGTTTAGAAGAAATGTATTATTGATGTTTGCTTTTCAAACTCATTCAAAGGACACTCTGTCTGTTAACTACATTTTAGCAATTCCTGTTATGTTGTTTAATATCCCAGGTGAATATCTCATGTTTTTACAATTGGATATAGTTTATTTGCCTATTTAGAGTATACATAACTTAAGAGCGTACCTACAAAATTTGAACGTTCGTTACCTGAATTAGGGAAACCAGAACCGCATTTGTTTTTCTTGGTGCATTGTGAGATATTGGTATAACGCAGTTCGATTTATTAGAGGGTTTTACATTGTTTTTATATTTTAATTTAGTGAATAGCTTTAGTTAGATTAAATTACATTTAGGAGTATAGAGTTAGTTTTTTAAGTTGTATTTTTGTGAAAGATGGGAAAAATAAAACCAATATACAAACGAAACAAATAGATGATTGGCTCAATTAAGGTAATACGAATTTATATTTTGGACTAATTTCTAGACTTCGGAAATCTACTAATAAAAATAAAGTTGCCACGGACATATTAAAAGGTTTATTTTTTGGCAATAAAAATATTAAGTATGATATAGAAAATGAAGAAGAGTTTAGTGAATCTTTAGGTAATGAATCATCCAACTCATGAATCTTCATAGATAACGAACATTCATTCTTGGCTACAACTATAGATGGCTTAAGTGGTAAAAATGCCAAATGTCCTTCTTCAGCCAAAAATTTCACACCGGAAGAGGCTATCGATAATTTTTTTTAAATATATGGAAAAAAGTAAATATGGGTTAAAAAAAATAGAACCATAGAAGAAAATTTTGTTATTTTGCCTCATGGACAATAAAAGGAATTATATATCAAAGAACTAAAAAGGACTAGAACCTTTGGAGAGAAATGTTGTCAAAATTTATTTAGAACATTATTTGACATTATCATTGGAAGAAATTCTAAATGAATAATTGTTCTCTAATACGCTGTAATTAAATAGTATTATAATTTTTAGTGTTGTTTTTGTATCAAGAAATCTGCGAAGCATTTTTTATCTATACATTTATTGATAGTCGTAGTGATTTTTCTTCTGTTTCATTGCCTTGAAAATTATATGATTTATATAAAAACCAAAAAAGCCGACTTATTATTTTTGTGAATAGAATATATGTTGTTATTTTCACACTTTTCAACTGCTCTGTTTCCATAAAAAAAGAAATACGGTGTTGTCAATCAAGTTCTTCTTTAGATATTAACACATTCTTTAATTTCCTCTTTAAATTTTTAAAAAATATTCTTTAGTATTTACATAATTTGGGAAACAGTATAGCATTGAAACTCCTACACCCGAAAAATTGTACGTACGCACTTAAATGTAAGAATACATAAATTGAAAAATAGAAAAGAAAATGTAAAGACATAGTTTACGTCCCCGCGCCGCTCGCCTCTTTTAAAATATAACTATGGTACTTTTCTATTTGTACGTTCTACTGATTGTTTAACCATTATCGTCCAGCTAGCAGCGCGGCGAGCAGCAGCGCTGCGATCTGACCTGTATTTTTACATGCATCTGACTTCTGAGTTCTATGTCGATATAATATACACTTCCCCAATAAATTAACGCACCATCTTCGAGCACCATAAAAAAATAACAAAAAGTTTCAAGCAAATATTTGTTAAACCCACTTGTCTGATTGGGACGATTTTTTTTTAATGACAGGTTGTCTCTTCCACAATGTCGATGTGCTAACTGTGTTTGCATAAAACCCTCTTTTTTATTAATACAGGGTGTAGCAATTATAGCGTGGTTTTTTCATAAAAGTTGTAACACTCTGTAGAGTGCAACAGTTACATTACCAAGTTCGCATTGATATCACAAGTTAGCCTTATCTTCTCTTAACAATTTCTTTTTTTATTTACTCCATTATGTTTCCTATTACACGAGAAACTCAATTTTATAACTTAACATACTTTGATTACTATACGGTGCAAGAGAGAGGTCCGACACGCCCAACATAGAGCGCGGCCATTTTGATTCCTATGCCACAGTTTATAGCTAAAGAATCAGATCGCTCACTCTGCGTCGGCACTTTTGATCTCAATGTTCCAGTTTATACACTGCGCAACTCGGATAATACAATATATGACAACAGCCTATAATAAAACAGCAGTCTTCTGCGTATCCTGAATTTGTATCCCTGGAGTGGATGTTATGTTGGAACTTTCAACTGGTCCGAGTGAGCTAACTGATTCTTTAGCAATAAACTGTGACACTGACAGCAGCAAGAAAAATATCAAGTGCGTTTTAATCATCCGCTTCTGCTTCCGGAATTGTCGGTTTAGTCGTTTTAACCTGTCAGATTAAAACAAGAAAACCGACAATTTCGAAGCAGAAGCGGATGATTAAAACGCACCTATTAAAAATATTGCGCCAAGATGTAGGCAACACGTAATAAGGGATCAAAATGGCGGAGTTTTCTATCTCCTTTCAAAAGGCACTCAGAAAGCTGCGCAGTGCGACCATTCTCCGTATAGTAAAAGAAAATCAAAGTATGTGCTTTATTCATTTTCATTAGCATTATAAGCACTAAGGTAAAGTAGCATGCTATGGAAAAACCAACAATTGTCAAATACAGATGCGTATTGTCAATATTAGTCCATACGCCATTTTTGCAAAAAAAATTATTAACCAATATGCCACGAAATCTTACTCGCGAAGAATTGCTCAACATTTAATATTGTTTGAAGAGGGTTGGAGTTACCGAAGAATTGGTGAACGATTTGACATAACTCACACAACCGTTTCACGAGTTATACAAAGATATAGAGAGACTAGAGACTGGTCGTAGGCCAGGACAAGGAAGAAACCGAGTAACTACTCCGATTCAGGATCGATTTTTTAGACTGTCAGCATTAAGACAACGTTTTGTAACAGCTCGGACCCTTTAAACATAGCTTCGGGATGCTAATGGTTTAGAAGTTTGTACAGAAACTGTTTGTCAGCGACTAAGGGAACATAATTTGAAGCCTAGAATAGCTGCTCGAGGTCCAGCTCTAACTAGAGTTCATCGCAGAGCAAGGCTAAATTTTGCCAAAGAGCATCGTAACTGGTTAGAGGCTGAATGGTAACAGGTATTATTTACTGATGAGTCTTGATTTTGTCTGTATAACAATGACAGGCGTATGCGCGTATACTGCCGCCCTAATCAACGGTATGCTCAGTGTAATTTCTTATATGCAACATTATTTGGAGGATCTCTGATGGTCTGGGGAGGCATTTCTTTGACTGGTTGCACAGAACTTATAATCCTAAATGGAAGCCTTACAGCTGACAGGTTGGAGATTTTAGACGAACTTGTAGTTCCATTTGCACCATATATAGGGCAAGGATTTTTGTTAATGCAAGATAATGCCAGGCCTCATGCTGCTCGAGTTGTGAGGAATTATTCAGAGGAAATCGGTATTGCTACCATGGCATGGCCAGCTGGGAGCCCGGATTTAAATCCGATAGAAAATCTCTGTGGACATTTTTGGAAGGAGATTACAAGAGGAACGTAATCTGAACTCTCTGGAAGATATACGGCAGAGACTGATTCAAATATTGGGAAGAATTGGACCAAAATGACATAAGGTCTCTTATTTTAAGTATGGGCCACCGTTGTGAAGAAGTTATTCGTGCCATAGGCGGAAATACTTGCTACTGACACTTTCGTCTAACTTATTTCGTTACATTTTGTTTCGTGTTTTCATTGTTAAATTTTTATATTCATTTTTAATAAAATCATGTTATGCTATAAAATATATAAAACAAAGGTAATGGAGTAAATAGAAAAGGAAATTGTTAAGAAAAGGCTAAATTGTGATATCAATTCTAACTTGGTAATGTAACTATTGCACTCTACAGGGTGTTAGAACTTTTATGAAAAAATCACGCTATAATTGCTACACCCTGGATTAATAAAAAAGAGGGTTTTATGCAAACACAGAGACAACCTGTCATTTAAAAAAAAGTGGTTTTGGCAAATATTTACTTTAAACTTTTTGTTATTTTTTGAAGGTGCGTTAATTTATTGGGGAAGTGTATGAATCGCTTATTTTGGAAATGATTTAAGTCGCTTTTTATGAAAATGAGATAATGGCGGAAATCTGTTCTGAAAAAGTGTGTCTATTGTTTAATAACGAAAATAATAGGTCAGGTATATTTGTTAATTATTAGCGGTATACGTGACATATCCTTTTCGTTATTAAACAATAGATACACCTTTTCAGAACAGATTTTCGCCATTATCGCATTTTCATAAAATAGATTACTTATTCACTTTCATAAAGAAGCAATTCATTATATTCAGAGTTCCAGGTCGGAATAATCTATTATTGTGAGTTACAGTTCAAAAAATCGATTTTTTGCTAGTTCTAAGTCGAAAAAATAAAATAAGCTTGAGTAAATATAGGAGTATAAAGACATAAAAATATTTCAGGTTACACCGGCTTATCTTGCGAATCCTGTTCTTTCGGATACGTTCGTATAAACACCAACTTATCAACGGGCACCGAGCAAAGCTTTTGCGTGAAATGTGATTGCAATGGTCACTCCTCGTCTTGCAATTCAGACACAGCCGAATGTTTTTGCGAACATAACACCGTCGGAGAGAAATGCGAACGTTGCGCTCCTGGTTTTTACGGAAATCCTTTGCGAGGCACTCCCGACGACTGCAAAAAGTGTGCTTGTCCGCTCGAGAATGATGAAAACAACTTCAGTCCGAGTTGTCAACTCGACTACTTTGTCGAGAGAGAAGAAGATGAGGGTAATTACGTTTGTACTCAATGTCCAAAGGGATACACTGGAGATCACTGCGAAATGTAAGTATAATATGTTGAATTTTTGGTTATAATATAATTTGCTTAAAAGCTTATTTTGCTGTTTGGACATTTTAACATCCTTAGAAATGTACAGAAGAAATAGATAATTTAGAAAACCTCTGAGTCTGGGAAACCATTACTGTAAAAATGTGTTCGTCTGAATAAAATAAAAGTATTCTATGAAAGGTATTTAAAAACTGATCTCTACGAGCTTGGTCGGTGGGTTTTATAGGTAGAATATTATATAAGTTGAATGAATGAGAGAATGTTAGCACAATGGGGCTGCGATGCCACCATGCTTGCGCCTGATAAAGTTGAAACCCAAGTTTTGTTGTGGGAAGCCTGGAATTACCTGAAAAAAAAGGAAGAAAAAAATTAGTTTCGTCTATTTTACATAATCAAGGTTAATATAACGAAACTTTGATAAATTATCGACTATTTTTATTGTCTCTAAATTTTGAGTGTTTTTGATATGAATTTGTCGAGACATAATTTTGTCATTCCTAACTTGAATTCTTTGATTATTAATGACAAAATGTCGAGACAAATTGCAAAATACACGAAAAATTTAGTAACAATAGAAATAGGCGCTAATTTATTATGGTCTAGTTATATTTTCTGAGATTATTTCTAGAGCCCTAAATGTAACTTAAATTAATAAATGCACAATAAAATAACTTTTATTTTCGGTTCATTTTAAAACGTTCCACGAGATATTAGCTTGTGCTCTGATAATAAATATATTTTACAGTAAAAGTAGCCATTATTAAATATTAAACCTATAATCAAGTATACGAGTTACTGTCAACATAGGTGATTATTATGTGAATATCAAGCACCAGGCATGGATAGTCGAGTTGAAATTGTTAAATTGGTTAAAATGTGAAAGTTGACAGGCGAGCGAAATAATCATATACTCGTATATATAAACTCATGACTTTTGGTAGGTATCTTAATCTCTGCTTTTTTATTGTTTGGATCAATATAGAATAAGTCAAAGTAATGTCCTTTTCCAGGAAACCAGCTGACGACATTTGTACGTCATTATTTGGTCATCGCTGACGTCAACATGACTTCCCAAATGACGTCCTAATGACGTAATTATTTTCTGAGTGATGTTATTTTATGACGTTAAATTGACGTTTTGAGTTGACGTTAAAAATATGTCTTACAAGGAAGTAGTCTGACTTCTTAGTGACGTCGAATTGTTTTTTTGTAAAATATATTTTACATATTTATGACCAGTTGCAGTAAACTTGATTAAAGTTAACCGTTTATTATAATTTAATTGATTGAAGATAATAGTTTGTATTAAAATTTCACTATTCTAGACGTTAATTAAAATGTAATTAATGGTTAACAACAGACAAGTTTTTTGCAAATAACCTGTAACTACAAAATATTGTTAATTCTTAATAAAAATTAGAGGTGTTACAAAAATATGATTAACAATATTTAACAATGTTCCTCTCCATTTAATTAAAATTGTAAAAATGTCAATATTCAACTACAAATAATTGAGTTTAGGTATAAGATATGGTTAAGACAAAATATGGATCATAAACACTTTTAAAACACGTATTTATTAAAATTGATCAATCGAAAATATGGGAATTGTAAAAATGTCTTACTTACTACAGGAATATAAAATTCAACACAAATTCTTTCAAAATATTAAACAAACAATAAACTTTAAAGTATAACTATAGTCTTACTATCTATATAACATTAAAACTCAATACAAATAATTTTATAAAATAATACTAAACAAATAATAAACTCTTCAACAAACTCAACACCGTGAACCATTCTTGTAAATCACTTTCACTTACACTGTATTGAAACATGGCAAATTAAAGGACAGTAAACAAACTATTCTACTACCAAACCGAAAAATGGCGACCGGGCCGCGTCTACCGCATCTATTTGTTCGCTCACTCTGCGTCGGCACTTTTGATCTCAATGTTCCAGTTTATACACTGCGCAACTCGAATTTGTATCCCTAGTGCATACAGAATCAAATCATCACCAATAATATATATGACAACCGCCTTTATTCAAACAGCAGTCTTCTGCGCATCCTGAATTGTATCCTTGGAGTGGATGTTATTTTGGAACATCCAACTGGTCCGAGTGAGCTAACTGATTCTTTAGCAATAAACTGTGATGGTGGCGAGAAGCCACGGGAAGACTCGAGCCATCGTGCAAACACGGTTGATAACTGATAGCTTGAATAACCAAATATTTAGATCGATCATATTTTTAACCGACTTGTGGTCCCATATAAATTTGGTTAAGATGTGGTGATGGCATCTACACGTTTTTGAAGTCGGTTTTTTTTTAATTTTTAATTTCTAATACTTGTCAAATATAATAAAGATTAGATTTACATGAAACATATATGATTTCTATCAGGTATGGGCAACCTTTACTTAGCGTAAGGCGTAAGTTCAGGACTTAATTAGGTCGTTGGTTGTAGGCAAGAAATAAGTAGGTAGTAATGAATAAAAAAGCTACAAAAATTCATACATTTTTTTTATTTATTAATTATAATAGCATAATGATGATGCTCAATCAAACACATAAAAAGTAAGATAATAAAAAAGATAGAAAAATCAAATGAAAATTAATGAGACTTGAGTTTGAAGCTAAGAAACAAGATGATCAATATTGAGGTCAATATCATAGATACATATGCGCAAAGTGTTTTCTAAATTAACATCTGTAAGCCGAATACGATGCTTATTTTGATTAATTTTCATGATTGAAAAAAGCTGCTCACATATATACTTGCTTCCAAATGTGCAAATTATTTTTCGTGCGAAAACTCTCAGCTGTGGATACTTTTCTTTGGAAAGGTATGTTCTGTAAAATTCGCTTAGTTCCACATCATTAAATTAGACTTCAAATATGAGTCTTCTTAGCTCGATCAACTCCATTTGTAGGTGAAGCGGAGCATCTTAAATATTACACTTAACAAGGATTTGCAAAAATATTGAAAGTGCTATCCATATTCTTAAAATGGGAAAGTCGATCAGTAAATTGCTCGGACAGTAGTTTCAATTCTTCAGCATAACGACCTTATTCAATGTTTTCGCGACTGGATAATGTTGTAAAATGAAAACAGTTTTTTTTTCTCATTTGTGTTTTCCACAAGCGAATTTTGTTTTGAAAAGCTATAAGCTGAGCTGATTTACCAATTGCCTTGTTTTTCACGCTTCAAGTTCAGATCGTTTAAGTGATGTGTACCAGGAATGCCAAGTCACAAAGTCAAGTTAGATTACAAATTTGCGGCAATGTTTTCTTTTTCATTGCCATAAAATCAGCTATTTTTTTCTAAGGTCATAAAATCTTTTTAGCATTTTACCTTTGCTTAGTCCACCTTACTTCGCAATAATATGTTACATCATCGTGTTCTGAAGAAAGTTAATCCAAAAATGCTTTAAACTGGCGATGATCAAATATTGACGTGCAAATGACGTCAGCTAGTTACCTGGATTAATATAATGAAAAGCTTATTTCTTCTTTATTATCTGTGCAACGATGGATCACTCATAAGTTTCCGAAATAAGTATAATTGTTACTATTATCAGAATTCGGAAAACATAATAACTTACACTTTTTCAATAGTTATAATGTATCAAGACTAGTAAGTGTAATGTATAGATCGATATTTGTAAACTGAGGCCCAAATAACCCAACTGTGCAACACTAACAAAATAATTTTCCACTTTGTTTTTCACTTATCACAATTTATTTATTTTTAAAATACTTACCCAGTTTTCTTCTAACAAAAACTGTTAATATATCAAAACCAAAGTCAAACCAGAACAATCTTTAAAAGGTTACCTATGTCCTTCTGAAGAATAATTTATTAATACATAAGTATAAAATGTTAAGGATAGCAATCACATACTGGACTCATCGTTACCTGTTTGGCAACAACCAAGTTCTACCTTCGTCCAAGCAATACTTTATAATCTAATATTTATGAATTTTGAAAATAAATATTTCAATTTTTTTAAATAGTTACTTAAAGTTACACAAATGGCAAAATTTGTGGCATTATAATTTTTTTAATAATGGATTAGATGAATGTTGTAGGTACCTATATTTTACCCTTTAATAAATAATTGATTTGGTATACGATGCTGAAATAATAAATTACTAAAACCTTTAAATGATTAAAATCATCACTAATCTTCTAAAATACTATTCCAATCATGTTTTTAATATTATATCATGTATTAACTAATCCAAAATAATCGTACCTTATAATTTGTTTAACACTCCGATTATTTCAGATGTGATGACGGATATTTTGGAAACCCAATGGAATTAGGTGGCAGTTGTCAACCATGCGATTGTAATGGTGGACCTTGTGATCGAAAAACTGGACAATGTCTTAGTTGCAGAGGAAATACAGAAGGTATGTTTTTCATTGTTCTTATTATTTAACGAAGATTTTTCATAGGTAAATGTACATACTTTATTTATAAATAGGGTATACTTATACGATTCCAATAATCTATAATTTCGGGGTCTAAGAAAATATTGTGTGTTTAATCGATTCTATTCATATTTTTCTGGCACTATAAGTTTAAAACTTAGTTTGATAAATTTCATAGAGAACTACAACTGCATACGTTTAGGAGACGAGTGTAAAGTAGAAAATATGTAAATGTGTGCAATAAGCACTGAGGAGCTGTGGAGAAGAAGAATAAACCAGGAACTGAAAGAAATGTATTACAACGCTAATATTATAGCAGTAATCCAATTGCAAAGTTTCAAATGGATAGGACAGGTTGAAAAATTAAGAAGGTTGTCAAAATTAATCCGAAGCAGACCGATATGGAAAAAATAAATATGCATGTCACTGAACTATCTGGCTTATTGTTTCTATCGAAAGTGCCTTTAAAGTGTTTAGTATTTTTCTTGATTAAAAAGTCATAGTTTTCGACCATTTCCAAATCTCTATCTCGAAAACGAACGAAACCTACTGATTTGATTTTGTCATCTTTAGTTTAACAAACAATTTCTAAAAACATCTTGAATACTTTTTTTTCTCTGTATTCGAAATTCCCTGCACAACAATGTTTAATACATTAACGCCCGTATGCACCGTACACGTTTAATCCAGATTAAGAGTTTAATCGCGATTAGTACCATTTTTAGCTATGGTACTAAACACGATTAAACACTTGATCTGGATTAAACGTGTACGGTGCATACGGGCGTAAGTCAGTGTTTTCAGTTTTGGTTATTTTATGAAAATGTGACATTGAACCAAAATTCTGTAAAGGTATTTATGTATATTTGCCTATGAGTTATTTTAAATGTAAAGCAATGTTTATTTGAAGGTTGGAAATGCGAAAAATGTAAGCCAGAACACTATGGAGATCCATCACTATTTAACTGTAAGCCCTGCGAATGTGATGCTATCGGTTCAGTTTCAAAACAATGTGACAATGTTACGGGATCATGTGAGTGCAAGGATAAGTTCATTGGAAGGACTTGCGACCAATGCCAAGTAAGCAAAAAATAATAATTTTAGTGTACCACCATTTTGATATAAAATATCATTTATTACAATTAGCAATTACAAAAAGTGGCTTTTGCGCAAATAATGAAAAGAAGTTATGTTTTAATAAGAAATTTAAAAACTGCAAAAAAATGTATTCTTTAAACCTTATATTTAACGACAAAAATAATTTTAATAATTTTTTAATATTTTTGTTCATATTACCTTGTTCACACGTTTGGAGAAATTAATATGCTGAACAACTATAACAAAATTGATCATAATTTCAAAATAAAAACATACCTTTTATAATACTTTCTAAAAACCTTATAAACATTATTATAAAATAAAAATATTGTTTTAATTTAAATTAAAATCAAACAAGTGAAATATTCAATTTTTAATTAATACTTACACTGCTCAAAATATTTAAAAGAACAAATTAATATAATTATTTCATGTATTACGAATATATAATAACAAATCTAACAACGCATATTTTATAGATTTATAATTTATTGCAATAAATTTGTATTGCACAATTTAAACATCGCATTAAGATCAGAGTAATTTGAAGAAACTGCAAGAACCAAAGTAAATTTAAAGCGACAGTTTCACATAACAGTAGAATGCTATCACAGCGATACCTAGATAGGCGTAGTTATACTTGATTACATTGACGTTAAATGTCTTTATGACTATCGCAGTAGCTCCAATAATACTAAACTGCAATAGAAGTAAACAATAAAAGCAGTCGATGTAACAGTAGTCCACTGTTATATGAAACTAATCCTCTAAGCACCATATACTAGTTAGGCTCATAGTACATGGTGATTATTTATGTAAAACACTTTCAAAGTTATAGTGATAAAATTGAACTACCGTCCACGTTTCATATAAAACAATGACTGTTTCTACCTAACAGTATCGAGCGATGTGGCCCAGCGAGAAGCCATCTGCTTCGCATTCGGAAGGTAGTGGGTTCGGTCGCCTGACTACCAGCCTGACCCACTATGACTTTTTCAGAGGTTACTAGGCATATTTTGGGTCAGTAATTTCCTCTCAGATACTTTCCACCACTTGTTCGACCCCATCGCCTCGAACCCAGATCCCTGATCCCTCCAGTACGGATGAAGAGGATAGAAAAGCCAATAACGGCCCGCTCCCACTCGGATCGAGTAAAGACAGCGGTCCAAAACTGTTGCTGAAATGCGAGACTCTTGTTTCGAGGCCCTAAGGCTACGGTTACAGTGCAAGCTATTTCGCGCGAATTATAAATCGCGCTAAACAAAACATCCACACAAATTGCATACAGTATAAGCAAATAACTCGTACGAATCGCTGGTTGTCGCTAGAAGTTCAAACAGGTTCGTTTATTTTTCGCGCGAACCGATTGCCGTCGCGCAATTGTTGAGATTATTGAAAGAAGAAGAGAGAATTGTTGAAAATATGAACAGTTAATAACTTATTTTCTTGGTGTTTGACAGTAGGTTATTGTGAGACTAAAGAAGCAAGGGATACCACAAGCGTGAGAAGTTGCGAAAATTATGGGAAGACGATTTGCGTATATTTCCTTAACCCAAAACCGCCAAGTTATTCTGTCAAATACAAATAGTTTGAATAATGAATTCTCAGCTAGGTAAAATTCTTCCATATCCATTCTTGAAATTTTTAACAGCTTTCGTATCATAGTGCTTTAATTAAACTAATAAATTCGTTTTCAATTCCGCGAACTCTAGAAACACCAGACTCCATTAGATCCCGAAACACCTTAATATGTAAAGTTTTGTTCAGCGATTTGTGTACTATAGGTAAATATCTTTAACTTATTTTAACATATTCTTTGGTTTTGTTTTTAGATAATTAATAGTATATTTCTCTTAATAGTTTATTGACAACAGTAGTTAAAGACCTATCAGTAGTTACAAATTACAAGGATTACTAGATTTCTTTAATTTTTTGGTGGAGCTTTACACTGGTGTCTATCATTTAATTCATATCCTCAAAAGTTAAAAATTCCAGGATTGGCTTAGGAAAAATTAATCTCGACGATTCATATCAAAAAGTTCGCCCTGTATAAGATTTTTTAAAATTATAATAAGATATTTTTAAAGTACATAGATAGGCAATCAAAACTGTGTATGTGACATTTTTGTCACATTTTCTTTAATGTTTTTATTAAGTTTTGATTTTGGGCAAAACTGAAAAATCACCTTAAGGGGTCACGTTATAATGTTATAACTTAAATAGATTTCTCTAATTTTTTGGTGGATCTTTACACTGGTGTCTAGCATTTAATTCGTATCCTCAAAATTTAAAAATTCCAGGATTCGCTTAGGAAAAATTAATCTCGACGATTCATATCAAAAAATTCGCCCTGTATAAGATTTTTTTAAATTATAATAAGATATTTTTAAAGTACATAGATAGACAATCAAAACTGTGTATGTGACATTTTTGTCACATTTTCTTTAATTTTTTTATTAAGTTTTGATTTTGAGCAAAACTGAAAAATCAACTTAAGGGGTCACATTATAATGTTATAACTTAAAGAAAAAATTGTTAATGGTATACATTTGAACTAAAACGAGTCTAACATAAGCCTTTAGTGCCTACACCGTTAATATCATTTTATTCAATTTCCATGCCTAGTTATAAATTTTTAATTAATTTTTAAACAAAAATCACCCTGTACTTTTTGGAGACTCAAATAAATTAAACATAAGTTCATATGTATTTATTAGAAATATTTTATTTCGTTTAAATTTCATCAACAAACAATAAATAAATTTTAACGAATTAGAATAACGAACAACTAAGAAATTAAAAAAAAAAACTAATACTACATACATAGAATAATGATAACATGTATACTAGAAAATAAAATCATGGTAATAAATTAACAATTACAGTAGTTGTTCGAAATGAAACCCTCCAGCTTCTACGCATTTTTGTTGCCGAATCGTTAAGTGCCTTATTGATTTACGGATAGTCAAGGGATCGTTTCTAATAACATTAGAGCAAAGGATAATTCTATCAATTAATTGTTGTCGGTCATTAATATTTTGTGAATAAACTAATTCTTTCAATCGTCCCCAAATATAGTAATCTACGGGGTTAAAATCTGGGGATCTTGGAGGCCATGAAATAGGACCTGCACGTCCTATCCATCTATTGCCAAAAACATTATTTAGATGGTTTCTTACCGCAACTAAAAAATGAGGCGATGCTCCATCATGTTGGAAATACATCCCTCGGATACCTACGTTGGCAAGTAAATTAGGCAAAGTATTTTGCAAAAAGTCTAAGTAAACTTGTCCTCTTAAAGGACCATCAAAAAAGTGAGGTCCTATAAATTGGTTATTTAACACACCAATCCACACGTTCACGGAAAACCTTAACTGAGACCGAAACTCTCGAACAGCATGGGGATTGTCTACTGCCCACACATGTAAATTACGGGAATTATTTATCCCATCCCTTGTAAACTGTGCTTCATCTGTAAACAATGTTCTATACAGTACTGGTCTATGATTTGCAATCCACCTATAAAATTCCAACCTATGGATTTCATCTCCAGGGTGTAGCCGCTGAACTAATTGAATATGATATGGGTGTAAATTATTTTTTCGTAAGACTCTAGTCACTTTTGATTGGGTAACATAAAGTTGTCGACTTACTTTCCTGGTGCTTATTGTGGGGTTCGCAATAACAGCATCAAGAATATTATTTTCCTGCTCATGATCTACATTTCGTTCTGTATTTGCTTTAGGGAATGTGCCATGTTCTCGCAAATAATTAAAAACTGATGCAAATGTTGAATTACAGGGAACTCGATGACCAGGAAATCTTCTATGATATTCTCTTGCTGCAGCTCTGCCATTCCCATTACAGAATCCGTACATAAAAATGATATCTGCATATTCTGCATTTGAAAACTTATGGGGCATTTTGAATAACAACACCAACAACGAAAATTCTAACACTATTGTAAAATAGATAAAACAAAGCCAAATATTATTTTACACGTATAAATAATGGTTGCAAATGACAAATAAATAAGAACAAACAAACGTCAAACTATCACAACCTACCTTGATACATAGGTACCTACTATGTATTTATAATAAAAATAAAACCACATAATAACTTAGTTGCAAGAATAAAATGTGCAGTTTTTATTAGAGGTTTATAAATAGCATTTATAATTATTAATTAATAAGTGTGAATTTATTGTTCGTTATTGTTATTCGCTACAATCAAAGAGGTTAGAAAGGGTAGAGGTAACATAGGAAGCATTTCTCGCTGCGCGAATTTTGCCAAAACCGAAAAACTGGGTGGAAGGAGTAGGAAGGTGTTCTGGGCCGGACTTAAATATTTGTATTGTAGTACCTAATTTTGATGGGTAATTAAAAGATGAAAAATTATGAGACGTTTGTTTGACTTTATTTGTTAGCACGATTCTTGTATGATGAGGGCAATAACACTTTATCAATATATAACTAGCTAAGGGCCGATTCCACCGTTGTGTCAAACGAAGTTTAAATTATTAAACGAAGATTAAAATGACATTGTTAATATAAAAATGTCATTTTAAACACCATTTAGTCATTTAAACTTCGTTTTTGTTAATATAAAAATGTCATTTTAATCTTCGTTTAGTATTTTAAACTTCGTTTAATAAAACGGTAAAATCGACCCTAAGTAAAAGTTTATAAGTACTTTTTGCTCGAATTACACAAAAGATTTTTTCTACGATCACACCAAAATAAAATAAATAACTAAATTTTATTAGAAATGGGTTACCTTTTCGTTCGTTATAATATTTTAAGTTTATTTGACATAGGCCTACTGTTCTAAGAGAAAAAAATGTTTTGGTACTTATATCCTGGTAATTATTTATGATTTAATTATTTACGGAAAATACCGTCCAATGAATTAAAATATTAGAAAGTCAATTAATAGTTATTTATGTAACCAGTTACGAAATGCCTTATTTTGTGTAACGAGTAAATATTTGCAAA